AACGCAGGGAACAGTAGCCGCCTCTTCCATCGACCAGTGGTCGGGAATCGGCCACAAAAAGTGCGTTTTTTTGACGACACAAGTGGTGGCCAACGCTTTGGACAAAACCATTCCCATCACTCGATTCCGGTTCTCATCCCTTCCCGCAAATTCCGACCCAATCAGGCATTCGGTCTCTCCGTCCGGAGCTGTCAATTGAAGTCGACCTAAAAATATTGCCAAAAAATTAGTTATTATTTAGCATTAGATGCGGTGATTGTGTGAAACCGATTGACTGACTCACCCGTCGCTAACATTATATCTCTGAAATTAAGGGCCGAATAGTAGATATTAACCAACTTTTCGCCGCTCTTTCGGTTTAGCGGCCAATACTTGTGCTGACATTCAAACCATTGAAACGAAGACAAGTCGCCTCTGTTTTGCTGATTGAGAAAACAGTGTTCACTGTCCACAGTCTGGCGCCGTTCCGGCAGCTCATTGAGCACGTAATGACCGACTTTGCCATCTCTTAACACATTTATGGCCAAATTATTTTTGATAACATCGTTTAACATGGTATTAGTTTTGTCCAATACTATACAATCGGCGTTATTTGTGTCCATTATTTGCAGCGCTCGGACCCGATGCCCGTTCGGCTCCGTTCGTACGCATTTGATGAAACCCAACAGACCCTCAGCCGACCCGTTGGCCACTAACCATATACTCTGGTCCACGGGTTTGTCGCCAATACTACTGAACTCGTGTTGAAAACTATGCAACCATTTGTTATAATTGTTGGTAAATTCAATGAATATCTGTCTCTCAATGGATGGTTCGCTGATTATCTTGCGATACAACAGGGAGTGAACGGAACAGCTGTCGGTATTGCGCGAAACCAAACGAAAGCCCACACTATTGACGGCATTCATGACCGTCTCGTCCGCACTGCTGGCCATCTGGTCGTACGGTTTGAGCGCCAACTGATTCCGCGTGTGTTTTGCGGCACAACAACTCAATTGACTTTTTAATACAATTAATACGAAACCACAATCAGTAAGCCTTTGCCAAAAACTCAAAAATAACGCATTTATGTCTACGTTTTGGGTCTCATTGGCTGTTAAATTGCATAGACTTTGATCCTTATAGACAATCAAATCAATACTGTTGTCATTCACATCACATCCCAGACGTGAATCGTTGAGAGTATAAGTGTTTGAATACAAGTTTTTGTCCTCTTCTTTGAAGCCAATAGTACTGCCAATGAATACGAAGTTAACGTCGAGACTGTACTGCAATATATCTATCGCCGACATAACTGTGCCATACATTGGCGCTGAGCCCGCATTCACTTCCACAATATTCACGCGATTACCACTCAATTCGTTGAGATTTTCAGCAAATATTGTGAGTTGAGAGCGAAGAAAGTTTCGCTCACCACATGATAAACACCACATGTCTTTATCCAACTATAAGTTATACATATTATAAAAGTTATATCATTATTTAAATGTTGTTAATATTGTTATACAATACCTGCGATTCGTTTAATATTTGTTTTTGTAAATCCATGTTTATGTCACCAATTGATTGCCCGCCACTAATAGTATCGGTGATTGTATTTATGGCTGAGCACTCGTCAAACGCCGCAAACTCATAGCGCCTGAGCGCCGGCTTTTGTGACTTGACATTCCTGTGCAGAGCACTGGTCCGCACTCCACGCATCTCCAGTCCCGCCGTCACCGCTATATTCAGGTGCGGATTAATTACTGTCCGCCTCTCGACACCCGATCCGCCGAACAGACGCTTCGGATCGCACCGGAGCTCATCGATGGCCACCGGAACCAACAATTGCTTCGATCGCGTCATTAAATTACACGTTTGTAACAAACAGTCGCAAAATGTGACCCAATTCTGGCGCCACTCAATACCCGCCGATAAGTACGTGTCGTGAATCTCGTGGGCGTCGGTTATGCAACGAAAACTCGGGCCGTAATTATAGCCCCGAGTTCTCAACACTTTGTACACGTCTTTACTTTGCAACCAAATGGGCGTTTCATCGCTCGTGTCGGCCATCGCTTGTATTTCATTCAATACAGACGTGTATCGCAGCGGTTGATCGCCGGTAATCTCCCTAACGGTGCCGCTCACCACAATTGATCCGCTTTCGATGATATGGAAACGATGGGTACTTCTGTCCACATTCACAGTAAATGTCACTTTCCTGTCGGCCGTCACGGGTGTGACCCGTAATAGCTGTACGTCACGGAACTCCACCGCAAACTCCTTGTATGAGATTTGTTTGTGAAAAGCCAATGAACGCCACGCGAGCATCAGATACCCGGTGCCCGGGAATAGGACTGTGCCATCAATACAGTGGTCAAGAATGTACTGATCGTTCACATCCTGTCAATTATTTTGTGGTGAAATAAGATTATTATATTTTTTGATATAAATTTACTAATTTTTGCTATAATTATAACATTATATTTACCGTAAAGTCGATGGTATAGGACTCACTCGAACGACTTTGAAAGAAATTAAAATACTCGGGAAATTTGATCTCACGGTACGATTTTGTGTGATTCCATTGGATGAATGGCGACAGCATTCGTGTGCCCGTCGATACCGGACCCCCAACTGCGGGATAAAGTGTTTCTATACTGACATTAAAGCCGTGCGTATAGAGACGGCCCAAACCGGTCAACAATAATGACTCGCAATTGTCATCCATTCGTTTCATTAGAGGAATGTATGTATAATTTGAGTTCAAACTCATGCTCTCATTTGCCAGTAGAGTGTATGAACACAAGTCGACAATCACCGACCCGTTGGGCACACAATTAGTGAGCCTATTATTTAACATCGCCGGCAATAGTAGGCAATCGACAAAGTATTTGCCGTTAATATAATTGCAGTTATAATCGTTGGTATTAGTGATCCATTTGGAGGACTTTTGTCGATCACATCCGATGACCGAATCTAACTTACGAACCAATGTCTCGATGTATGGGTTTGTGTCGCGACCAGTGGTCAGCACTTCATCGTAATACTCACCCAAACAGTGGCCTATATTAGTGGCGTTCGGACCGTTGAACGTGATATTTAGGCCCTTCTTGGCGGACATTTTGTCGATGAATTTCCCGCAATAATAGGCAACCAAAAGTGTTTCCCGAGCGGTGAGACAGTCGTCCGCATACGCGCACACCATCTCACCGATAGAGTAGCCAATCATATGGTCGGCCGCGAGACCCAAATGCCGCAACTGATCCGTCAAAGCCATCTGAATGGCGACCGACGATAGCATTGTGTTTAACGTCCAATCGTTAGACTCAGCATTTGGTCTAACGTTAGTCAATAGGGCCAACAGATCCACGCCTTTGTCCCGCAAAACAATCGCCGACTTATGAACAGAATCTGCGATTACATCGAAACTCATGAGTTGTTTATCAAATTGAGAGCCAATTCCTGGAAATAAGAAACACAATTGTCGTCTCGTTTTGGCCACTTTGTTGACCTGAATCGGTGTGAAAGTCAGTCCGGTTTGGACACTAGAGTTGGCGCCGATTAGCGTAAAGCCGCGGTATCTCATGGGCCGACACCCGGTGCCCGTCTCGTGGGGCGAACTCTTTGACAATTCGTTAATCAAATGCAGTAAATCTCTGCTAATTTTTGTCGGCTTTTCAAACAGTTTGCCAAAGAAATAGTTGACCGCCCCCTCACTGCGGCCGCACACGTGCACTAAACGCGGATACCGGTGGCCAACGATGTGGTCATTGCCCGCCTGTGCCCTAATCTTTGGCGACCTGAGTATGAGGTGTGTGTTAGAGCCGCCGAACCCAAAGTTGTTGAGTCCGACCAAATCGCCCGAAAACACGGTATTCTCGTTAATGGGCTGAATGTGACCCTCGATTAGCGACTCGATCGCTGGGTTGGCTCTATTGAAGTGTAGGTTCGCTGGGATTAACTCGTTCTCAAAGGCGAGTATTACTTTAGTGACGGCGCACAGACCCGACGCCCCCTCCGTGTGGCCGGTGTTGGACTTTAGGGCCCCAATCAGTAACGGCTTCTCTCTCGCGTCTATGCATAGAAAACATTTTGTTTAATAACAGTTATATATAGCGTTGCCAGATATACAGGAATGACCGTATTATACAGGAATTAAGGAATATTGCAAAGTACAGGAAGGTATCATTCCTGTACATTGACAAATACAGGAATAAATATTTTAACAATAAACTATAAAAGTATAATAATAATCAGATTTGTAAATAATAATAGTCCTGTACACTCACAATCTGAACTAATGTTGGAAATAAAAATAAATTTAACATAATTAACTCAATTATAAATACATTGTACAGTGCAACCTCTCCATAAGAAACAAGCAGATGCATAGCCAAAGTGTTTCTTATAGAGAGGATTTCTTCAAGGGAGGTTTGAGTAAAAATGCCTAATTTTTAATTAATTTTTGAAAGATTTTATTAATAAAAGCAATTATTGAAAATAATCAGTAATTTTAGTTTGTTTAGTTGTATTAAATGAAAATGTGTTTTTTGTTTGTTTGTTTAAAGTCTTATGTTTGAAAATATTTTGAATACTTTACATATCATGTGCTTATGATTATCTTTGTTTCTTATTGGGGTGGAAGTTGTATGGATTTAAAGTTTTGCTTTACATATAATAAAATACAAGAAAATACAGGAATTTTTGGTAAAATTTTCCCAATTATACAGGAAATCCAAAATATTTTTTGGCAACGCTAGTTATATACTATATAAAAACTTGTATAATTATGTTAATAGCAGTTAATTTTAGTACTGTTTGTTGACTTATTTTTTTCTATAAGTTAGAATTGATTTGAAAATTATCTAAAAATAGTCATTTAAATGAGTTTAAAAACCTGTGGCCGCTATCGCGTAATAGATGGCCCGCATCTCTACGGGATCGCCGGCTTTAGTGCCGGTGCAATGGGCCTCCACGTAGTCAACACGGGTCGGATCTATGCGGCACTCGGCGTACGTCCTGGCGATGACCGCACGCTGTCTGTGCCAACTCGGGAATGTGATCCCTTCAGACTTGTAGCCGTCGTTATTGGTGACGATGTTAACGATAGTGGCGTACACTCTCCGGGCCCGTGACCTGCGCTGCAAGAATACGGTGACCACCGCTTCGCCCTTCGCGTACCCGTTGGCCCTCTCGTCCAAACACATGCACTTACTGTCCGGTGATATCATATTAAGTCGGAAAAAATTGTAATAACTATTGGGATTAAACGCTATGTTGACGCCTATGCAGAGGGCGGCGTCGCATCGGCCGTATTTGATGGCCAGATAGGCCTCGTTTAGGGCAATGAAACTGGAATTGCAATAAGTGTCCGCCGAAAGGGTCGGTCCCTTCAAATTGAATTTGTTGGCCACCGTTTGGGACATAAAGTTTTTATACGCCGGCAATTGTGGGGCGTCTCGACAGGCGTGCAACTCTTCATTCACACAAATGCCGATGAATACCCCGGTGTTTGTGCCGCTCAATGCCTCCGGGACTGTGCCTTTTGTGTGGCAATTAGAGGTAAGTTTGAATTTGTTGTTATATTTACAGTAAAGGACCATCTGTGTGAAGTACCATTTGTGTGAAGTGACCATTTGTGTGAACCAAAACCAAAATCCACACTCAATAGACATAACGTTAAAAAGGTATCAACTGTGTGAA